CGATCTGGGGACGTATAAAAAATTACATTTCATAATTAAGACACAATAACACGCCGAATAAATACTGATTCAGAAGTCAAACAACAAAAATCAGCGTTAATTCACAAAATTTTCACAATGTTATTTCACATGTGAATTTTCACATGTGAAAATTTTGTGAATTAACGCTGATTTTTGTTGTTTGACTTCTGAATCAGTATTTATTCGGCGTGTTATTGTGTCTTAATTACAGAAGCCCCAAACAGGCTTACATTTTGCTTTCTTTTTTGCACGTGGTGTGGCCGCCATTTTGTGATTGTAGGGGTTTCGGTGAGTACATTTTTGCAATTTTCAAGTTATGTTTATGTTTTGTACATTTGGATATTGTGCTTTGCTTGTCTGATTTCATTGATTTTGCTTACAAACATTTGTTTTCTATTCATTTCAGTGAGGGATTTTTCTGCTATTTGTGTGTACTTTATTATTGCTCAGTTAATTTAGTTTGATTTTCTGCATTTTATCATGCCTTCATCCGTTAATCGTTTCACTAAATTACGCCTGAAACGGCAAAAATTCCTGAATCATCTTGACTTTTACTAAATGTAAATGTAAAAAATTGATCCCCAATTTATTCAAAATCAAATCTAATCAAAAACCTTCGAGTCGCGTTTCAAGAATTCTGTTAAATTGCAAACTTGCCTTACTTCGGTCCGTGATAAGGGATACCGTCAACAATTGTCCAAAATTGAACATGAACTCTATAAGCTTCATCTGGAACTCGCTAAAACATATCAAAATTCACTGCCCTTGAACAAAAGTCTTGGTCTAGAACGGAGAATGCAGTTAACCGTCATAAAAACACCCTTGCAGTTAAATTCGAAAAATTCTTTTACAGTCTTCCAGTTCAAGTAGTTCAAAAATCTCCCATGTAAACATCAAGCCATAGTTTAATATTTCTAATGTTAGTCTTTCAAAGACAAGAGAGAAATTCCTAAAATATAATTTAACTTCTCACAAACCTGTAACCCTCCGATTCCAAAGATTTTTGGCTCCTATCGAAAAGCTTTCAAGTTCATAAAGTTTCAGATTCACAGAAAGAAATGATTAGGCATCTTATCGCTCATAAGTGAATTCAATAATAACCTTTGAACCAAATCTAACTGCCGAGAGAAGAGCTACATGCGCGAGATCATTCTAACCCGGATATTGTCATTTCAAGGCCGACAAAGTGCCAGATAGTCCGTCATGGATAAGAACACTTACATCGATGGTGTCCACTAAACTCTTAACGAAGGACCATATAATCCGATCCCTAAAGATCTTCAACTTCGACTTATCCAAAAAAAACTGCGATCAAATCTTCGCAAATCATTTCAAGCACTTAAACATTCGCATCCATCTTTTGCGAATTGTGCCAGATTATATGCTCTTCCCAAAAATTCATAAAGTGGTATCCTTTCCGCCCTATTGTATCAAATTTAGGTACTGCCTCGTATCCCTTAGCTAAATATTTAGTTTCTATATTTTTCCACTCTATTAGACAATAAACATTTACACCATAAAAATTCAATAGAGTTTTGCAAAAAGGTTAAAACATTTCTCCTCGTAATTTACTCATGGTTTCTTTTGATGTAAAATCATTATTCACCATGTCCCAGTGGGGTGCATTAGATGTCTAGAAACCAGACTTCGCGAATTTCATTTCTCTTGCATCGAATTGATGAGCTAATTCTCTCACTCAACTCTTTTGAAAAACACTTTTGTTTTCCAAATAATATTACAAGCAAACTGAGGGTTATCCATGGGAAGCCCCTCTCCCATCCTGGCTGCTATCTACATGCATTATATGAATCAAAATTGTTGAAACTTTAAACTTCCCGGCATGGTTCTGCTACGTAGACCGATACTTTTACCCTGTTTGAGTACTAAAGATGATTTAAATAAAGTTCTTTCAACAATGAATTCTATTGATCCTGCTATTCAGTTCACTTTTGAACTTGAGACTTGCAATTCTCTTCCATTTCTCGACATTCTGGTCACACGTAACACATCCAACTTCAGTACTACGGTTTACCGTAAACCTTCATGGTTTGCCTTCCACCCACACTTTAAATCAGTCATCCGACTAAACAAAGTTAGCTTCATTTTATTCTACGTTTTCCGTCTCAAGTTTGCTCCTCCAAACTAGCCCTTGATGAAGAACTAAATTATTTAAAAGCAATAGCTATTGACAGGGGCTTTTCACCCAACATTATTAATCAAGCAGTTAAAAAATTCTCATCTCAACACACTAAAAGCCACACTCTTATTTTAGGAGATATAAAAATTCTGTTGTCATTCCCTTCTTCCATCAATTAGCTATAACGTTTGCACATATTTGCAGAAATTTAACTTTCGGGTTGTTTCTCTCCCATCAATAAAATTCCAACTTCCATACTCAAGGACCCCATTCTGGATATGAATTCCTGGGGTATTTATAGGATTCCTTGCCAGTGTGGTTTAATTTACATTGGCCAAACTAAGGGAGCCTTAAAATTTCGCGTCAAGGGACATGAGGTATGTTAGAAAAAAGGAAACACAGAAGTCTTTCTGTTGCTCAACATTGTTGGTCCGAAAATCACACTTTCAATTTTTCTGCTGCCAAAATTATTCAAAAAATCTTCCATTGGAGAGAATGGATTTTCTAGAGGCATTTCACATTCAAAAAAATCTTTCTGTTCTAGTTAACGATCCTAATTCCAATCAAATTTGCCTTCGGCTTTTAAGAAATTATGTTTTAGTTCTGGTTTCGCCAACAGATGGCGCCACTTGCTTATTCTTGTCCAGGCTTTCTTATCTTATCTAAACATTATTTCCTATCTTGTTCATTTGCGGTTTTGCAGCTGAAGATGATGGTTCGGTAAAACCATCGAAACTAGTCCTGTGAAAATTTTGTGAATTAACGCTGATTTTTGTTGTTTGACTTCTGAATCATTACATTTCATAGTTTTTATGAAACTGATATTTTTTAATTTAAAAATGCCGAAAAATGGATATCTGCACTATTTCAAACATTTTTATAACTGGAAAAATGTCTGCAGCATATAATTGCAAAAACTAAAACCCGGATAAGGAATTTTGTGGACATGGAGTTATAGCACTTGGAGATGAACTGAAGCACATTCAGCTTTCTCTCTAATAATATTTAATGCAATTGAGCTTCATCTGTTAAGTTACCTATAACAAGCAAAACTGCAATTAGTAATCATTGCCCAGTAGATTATCATTAGATGCTGTACAATTGTAAATAGCAAACATTTTTTTCATAAGGTACTAAATTTTGCACGCAGATATTTTAATTATTATAAAAACTAAACTCGGTGGTACAACAGCCCTAGTGGGCCACGGCCTGCAGTGCCCCGAAATCTGCTTTTTTGACCTTGGTCCCCGGGCTGCGTCAGCAAAGGCCCTGAGCAAGTGGTCAGCTTGTGGCAGGACATTTTAATTATTATGTTTTAATTATTATTATGTTTATCATGTTTTAATTTAGCAATGAATAATGTCTTCGTTGACTAGAAATAAATTATGAATTTGCGTTTATTGAAAATAAAACTGAATTTAGTTGCTTAATTTTAGTGCAGTAAAAATAAAAACTAGGATTATGTGCTCATGCTTTTAGCTTGTGTAAGTAAAAATTAATTTCTCTGTTTTATTTCAATGGAAATTCTGTCTTGCGTGTTTAGGGAAATAAAAAAATAGTTTGATTGCTTAATTTTGCCGAAGAAACATGTTTGGTACTTTGTTTCACGAAAACAGATTGTTCTAACTTTATCTTTTTTTAATAAATTGCATGTAATAAAGTAAATGAAATTTCTCTGTTTGCGTAATTTTTATTACGTTAAGTATATGAGAATTTTTATACATTTATGGTGCAGATTTTTCACCTACATTTTTATTCTTTCTTATTCACGTGACGTTACGTGTTTATTCTGGGGCTGAGTATACCATAGAAAACAAAACATTTTATTTTCGTCTTCTTATCATGTTTTGATTTGGTTTATTAAGTTACGGCAAATCCTCGAGGGCTATCTGCCTAGGAGGAAGGATACTTTCGTGAAGGACGTTCTAAGGGAAACTGACTCGTATACACGTTGCACATGGGGGAAAAACCACGAAAATGCCCATCCAGTCAGACTGTTTGCGGGATTCGAACCTCGGACCAAACTACCAGTGATCAGCAACTTTAGCGTTCGGCTAGTGGTGAAACTCTTCTAATCAGGTTTTGCTTATAACTATTTCGTCAGTTTATACATAAAAGTTTTAAAAAGAACATAAGAAATCCTAAAGGTTTAAATAAAACAATTTTTATCTTATATTGTTTAATAGCGACACTTTTTTTTATAAAATCTTATGATGAGATGTTTTTTATTCTTCATAATTGCAACAAGAAATAAAGTTGGGTTAAAAAATTGGGAATTAGATGGACATGGAAGTTCCTTTTAGGCTTTTGTCTCCTTGTTAACTCAGAAATACGAATTAACGAATGGACAAAATAAACTAAAATTATTTACCTAAAGAAGGGTACTTTCACGGGCAGCAAGTTAATACAACTACGAATATATTCATCTTTCCTATGAATTCCTTCATGAGAAGAACAAAAGACATTCATGGGGAAGAGGAAAACCAAAGCAATTTTTTTCACGAATTCATTCGTGAGGAGGAGGAAAATATTTCCCAGGTATACTTCGTTCGGAGGAAGTGGGAAACTCTGTCATATCCAACTTCTCCCAATATAAGGAAAACGAAGAATGTACCAATATTCACCGAGATTCGAACCTGGGATCGCTGTGAACTAGCGATCTTACCACTTGGCTACTGGGGAGCTTGGCTGTTAATATGACGCATCCGAAATTATATCCTCAGAATCTATTACCACACGAATAAAAATTATAAACTTTTGGAATTAAACTTTTTTTTGATTAAAACGAACTGGAGGCATTAATTGAGTATTACGTTTGAAATATTAAGTAATGATTTCTTACCTTTCTGAAGCTCAAGATGTCGAAGATGTGAGAGAGTAGCTTAGGGAAGAATTTGCCTTCCTCCTTCGAAGGTTCCTCGACTTCATTCTCTCCCACGTCTTCAATTTGAGACACAACACCAGACACCAGCAAGATACAGAGAGCCACTAACGCTGTCCACTTCCACGCCATCGTAGCTCCAGAAACCGTTACCAGAAAAAAATACCTAAGAAGTTGAAATTTATGTTCAGATTATTAAATGAAAAGGACACAAATATTTAACAAGAATAAAAGAAATACGTTTTGAAAACTTCATATTACAGTTATATACATCGAATAGTTTGCTATTAAAGTTTCAAAAATTATAAAAATAATTAAAAATCACAAAATTATAAAAAGGATAACCTTATCTTAGAATGTAATTTCCAGTTTAATTTCAACAGTAATATGAAGCTAAAATAATCAGGACAACTAAATACAAATCTATAAAATATATGAAGTTTAAATCATGATAGTGTAATGTTTTCAATTTATGATGTAATTTTCATTTCTTAACTTCAAATACTCATACACTAATTGAAATACAACCAATTTTTTTATAAATATCAGGACACTATCAATGTTAGTACTTCAATATATATCGTATCCATGCCTTAAAATTTTAGCATTTGATTAAAACTAATCCCATATACCTTTAGTGAAATGAATATTGAAAACTAAATTTTAATCTTAAAAGCTAATTATGAAAGATAAATAGAATGAAAGCTTCATTCCAGAACAAGTTAAATCGTGTGCTGTTTATTTCAAACTTCTATTTCTATTAACAATAAACAAAAGTTTACAAAACTGCTGACTGAAATGATAAATACGAAATTCTTGAAAACGTAGTACGGGAAAAAAAATTTAATACATTACAACCTGCAAAGTACTAAGAGAAAAGTCAATAATTAAAAATATTTAGAGCATTCAACCGAATTCCCATGTGTAAAAATCGTGGTACTTACGTATTAATGCAACCAACTCAGTAGAAGTCCCCAAAAATTCAAAATGCGCCACCTCTGACAGCCATGCATATAACAGTTCTTTAGTTTCAGCAAGACACATCGCTATTTTCCTATGTGCTCGTTTTGTTATATTCGAAACGCTTTTGTAGAAAAATTGGGACATTTTTAGTCTTAAATTCAGATTTAAAATATGCGCTTGTGGGATTAGCTAAATGTGGAGGAAACTGGTCTAAAGTATTCAGAGGACACATTTTGGTTTAGTTTATTTTATTATGGCATCATTAATTTTCTTCTGTAAAAAATCGCCAAATTGCGCCAAGGTGGTTTCACTAATACGTAAGTATTAAAAATCATATTTTTTATACTATTTTTTAGGCCAGCTATTTATTTAGGTTCAAACTCGGAGACGAATCTATCAGAATTCGATTAGTTTGTTTTCTAAATAATTGATAAAAGTTAAACTTAGAATATGAAAACAGAGCTTTAAATCCTGAACACTCAGAATTACAAAAACGGAATAGAAGTTTCTTGCATTTGGACACCAGAATAAATTTACTGCTTATGCCTATACTACAAGAAATAAAAATTAAAATAAAAGTTTTAATGGGAAAAAGTTGAAGAAAGTCCATCAGAAGGGAATTTTAGTGTTCGAAGTTTGTTCGTTTTTCAGGGAAGTTAAAATCTGATAGTCGCAATTTTTTTAATCGGCTAAATAAGCAATGAAAAATTAATTTAATAATTCTATCGGTTTTACGGTGTGATTATATTATAAGTGAATTCTTCATCAGACTACACATAATACACACATCACAGTTTTCACTCCTTATAACAGAAGAATTATTTCTTAACTATTTGTTTACTAATAAACTATTAAGGCTTGCAGAAAAGATGTTTCCGCAGTGGGTAAAAAAAGTATTGGTAATTGCTTATAATTGATCATATTACCTAACAAAGTAAATGCTTGATAATTTTACCTGGGCATAACGAACACAGGAGGTAATAAACACACAAATCTAATGAAGCTTTCAATTTAATATGCTTTTTACACAAAATATACAACAAAGACGTAAATTTGCATGTCAAAGAAGTATTGGCAGCTATGCAAATTTTGTTACTTTGAGGTCATGTGTTCAGACTGATAAGAAACCCTGCTAGTATAAAGTCTGCAGTACTACTTCAAAACTTTTCAAACGTTATTTTGCTAATACTGTATTAAAATAGCTTCGAAGTCGAAGGAGTTGGATGTTAATGTTAAAAACATGATTACTGAACTTAGAAATGAAGGTTTAAGTTATCGTGCTATAGGTGATGTGGTGTATTTAATTATGGCAAAGCACACTAGGGCTATCTGCCTAAGGGGAGGGATGCCTTCGTGGAGGACTTTCTAAGGGAAACTGGCTCGTATACACGTTACACATGGGGAAAACCACGAAAACACCCATGCAGCCAGCCCGTTCGCGGGATTCGAACCTCGGACAGAACTACCAGTGTTCAGCGACTTTACCGCTCGGCCGCTGGTGGGCCTATCGTGCTATAGGAATATAGCTGAACGTAAGTTTATTTACTGTTAGAAGTGCTGTAAAAAAATTCAAAGAGACAGGATCGACGGAAAATAAGATGGGAAGTGGACGGCCTCGAATATTTTCTGCAAGGGAAAACTAAATAGGTTAAGAAATACCCTAAAATAATTGCACCCCAGTTAGCCAAAGCTGTTGCTAATACTTCGCATAAAACTTAGTGCACAGACTATATGGAAAGTTTGTTATGGAAGAGCAGCTAGAAAGAAACCTTTCATTTCAGAAAAAAACAGGAGAAAGGGATTAGATTTTGCAAAATCTCATTTTAATTTATCAGAAGAATTTTGGAACACTTATTTTGTTCGACTAATCGAAGTTTAACATTTTCGAGAGTGATGGATGGCCATATGTGTGGAAAAAGCCGAACACCGAACTGGAAAAACAACATTTAACACCGACTATAAAACATGTTGGAGGGAGCGTCGTAGTTTGCTGTATAGCCAGCAAACGGAATTGGTAACCTGTACTTCATTGATAGCATTATGACAGCACGCACGTACATTGACATATTGCGCCACAACATGAAATTCAGTACCTAAAAACTTGGCTTAGGAACCTCATTTGTGTTTCAACAGGACAACGACCCTAAGGATACAGTGAACCTCATCTGGCAATAGTTACTTTATAACACTCCTCGCCAGTTAAGCCTTTGCAGCACAGTGTGTCCGGTCTGGACACACCTAAAAATTTCCTTCTATACGCACAGAAAAATTGAATGAAAAAGGATTTATAGGTTACTATAGGTTACTCTGAACCTTCTTTATTTATAGTAGATGGCAGCTCGAACACAAACCAGTCCATATATTTTAGCCACGTTTAGTTTTTTAAGACCATCATTTCTTGAAAGAAATCTTCCAGATTTATTCTTAGGGTATAAAAAGGAATTGTTTGAAAGGAAATTTCTATGTTATTTTTTTGGCTGTATGCTAATCTCCTTTATCATATATTAGTTTTAAATATTTTACCTTGAAATCTTGCCTTAAAAAAAAAAAAAAAGGCGAACCCTAGGTGTGCCATGACCGGGCTCACCGATAATCTAGGACAACTGAGAATCTGTATTCTTTGTTTCTCCGCATCTCATTGGTCAGTTCATTGACAACGATGCTCATTTCATCACTCTTTTCATAGATCTATTTAATCAGTGTACCCACTTTGGGCACACCCACAGAATTAAAACGATAAGTGCTATCTTCACAAAATTTTACTTGTGTACTCCTCTAGGCCTAATTAGACTGCCTACTTTTTTTATCAAAACTCCGACTTGAAAAGCCCACCAGCGGCCGAGCGGTAAAGTCGCTGAACACTGGTAGTTTGGTCCGATGTTCGAATCCCGCGAACGGGCTGGCTGCATGGGCGTTTTCGTGGTTTTCCCCATGTGTAACTTGTATACGACCCAGTTTCCCTTAGAAAGTCCTCCATGAAGGCATCCCTCCCCTTAGGCAGATAGCCCTAGTGTGCTTTGCCATAATTAAATACACCAACACCAACTTTAAAAGTTAGCGTGCCGTAAAGGGTTAAAGACACCGCCTCAACTGCCTGACATAAATTCAGTTGAAATTTTATGGCACAAATTGGACCTAGAAGTCAGGAAACAAAATTTCGTGTAAAGATGAACTTGAGCGTATACTCCTGCAAGAATGGCACAAAATTCCCCGAACAGGATTTTTTCAACAACCAAGACTTCTATGAGAAAATAGATTACAAACTGGTTATAGATGCAAAAGGTATGAATACAAAGTATTAAATTTTGTTCCCACATGTCGCTGTATGACCTTGCCAATACTTTTTGATACATTGATTTACGTTTTTGTCGTATATTTTGTGTAAAAGGCATATGAAAACAAAAGTTCCATTAGATTTGTGTGTTTATTACCCCCTGTGTTCATTATATTCACCTGAAATTGTCAAGCATTTCCTTTATTAGCTAATGTGATCAATTATAGGCAATTGCCAACATTTTTTTACCCACTGTATATGTTCTGAAATTTTATCTATTATGTATATCTTCTGATATCCACTGTATATCTTTTGTGATCAACACTTTTTTACCTACTGTATATTTTCTGAAATTTTATTGCAATGGAAACTGTATAGATAATTTTTTTCAGTATTGTAGTTGATATCTGGAGAAAGAAATCACTGTTTGTAAAGGTAATATTTTTTTATTATTCGGTGATCAAATGAATGAAATAAGTTACATTTATTAAATTTAACTCTTTTCACATCTAAATTTTAGTCCACCTATTCATCAGACAGCTTTCGAAAATATATTTATTCGATAAGAAACTTGAGAAAATAATTGTGATTGAGAACATTATTAATTTCAGTTTCGGTTTATAGTTGATACGAAATTTAATATTTAGTAGATAACAACTACTTAATATTGAAACTAGGAGTGAAATTCATTTACTTTCTTTCTGTGTTTCAAAAATGAAATATGTTTTATTGTACTGTAAGTCGTAACACTGGTTAAACATAAAAATACAAAACACGTGCGGTTCTAACCTGATAGCTGTAAGTACCTCAGTAGGGTGAATCCAAACGCATAATTGACCATTTGGGTCAAAGTACAATACGTTTAGAGATGTTGAGAGTGTTCAGCTACGTGAAGGAGTCATGCAAGAATTGGAAGTCAAATTTAATAG